CTGCCCAGGCCTGTGGCATCCTTGCTGTTACTATGTCAAACCATCTCACTGGAAGTCTTCCTCTCTGTACCAGCATGCGGTCCTTCTCCAAGGACCAGTGTCTCCTGACAACATGTTAAAACATGTTAAAATATGTGAGGCGAACTGTCACCGTCCTTGCTTCCTCTTCTTTTTAAATCATTTAATGGGGAGCTCTTACAGATATTACAACAATCCATAATTCAATTACATCAAGCATAATTGCACAATTGCTGTCACCATTAATTCCAAATGTTTTCTTTCTTCTTGAACTCTTTGGTATCTCCCTCTCCCACCTTACCCCCAGGAGCCCTTGTTATTATATATGTATATATATATAGTGCCCTATCTTACAGCATCCAATGTATCCGTTCACCTACAATTCTGTGATTCATTCTCCTTGAGTGGGGTTATACAGTCATCATTGCTGTTGATTCCTCCCCCCCTTTTCTGTACCCTCAGGGAATCATTACTCCCGTTACTATTTCTGAAGGGCTTATCTATCTTGGATTTCATGCATTGAATGATCTTAGTTATACAAATGAACATACACAGGTCCAACAAAGATTAATGAGGTTAAAACTAAGACCATAATAGTAAGGGGAGGAAATGTTAAAGAACTAGAGGATGGCTGTTTATTTTATCAGTTTTATCTATAGTATATCATCCCTTCTGTGTGGCCCTTCTGTGAGGGACAGTCCAATTATCTTACAGGTGGGCTTTGGGCCTCCACTTTGTCTACGCTCCTTCATGCCAATTTGCCTACTTGTTTTTGAACTTCTGATACCTGTTCCTGTCAACACCTCATGATCTCATTGGTGTGCTTCTTCCATGTGGACTTTGTTGCTTCCCTGCTAGATGGCCGCTTGTTTAACTTCAAGCCTTTAAGACCCAAGGTGCTATATCTTTTGATCGCCGGGCACCATCAGCTTTCTTCACCACATTCGGTTATGCACCCGCGATTGTGTTGGGAAGGTGAGCATCACACAGTGCCACATTGTCAGAACAACATCCTTGCTTCTAGGGAGCATTCTGGCTCTATTTCTTCCAAGACACGTTTGTTTGTTCTTTCGGCAGTCTGTGGTACCTTCAATAGTCTTCATCAACATTGCACTTAAGGTGTACTGTTTCTTCTTTAGTCGTCCTTATGTGCTGTCCAACGTTCACCTGCATACGAGGTGACTGAGACTACTGTGGCTGGGTCAGGTGCACCTTAGTCCTCAAACTGACACCCTTGCCCTCCAACACTTGAAAGAAGTCTTGTGTAGCAGATTTGCCCAGTGCAATGTGTCATTTAATTTATTAACTCTTGTCTCCTGAAGTATTGATTGTGGATTCTAGGAAGATTAAATTCTTGACAAAGTCAATCTTTTCTGTTTAGCATGATGTTACCTGTTACACATAAGTAATATAGTATTACATGTAATACATATACACCTAAAAAATTGTCCAAATACTCTTTTCTAATCTGTGGTGATTTACATGTTTACACTCTTATTAAAGTTCTACTTTTAATGGTACTGCAATTGATTAGCCTTCTCCTTCATTGCCATTGCTGTTTGTTTGCTTTAAAACTTTTTGGCTCCCCGAAGCCGTGCAGTGCCTTGCTCTTTTTCCTCCCAGAGCTGTCTGCAGACTGAGCCCTGCGCTCTTAGCTCTATGCTCCTTATACAACACGAGCTTTGGGGTATGGTGCGAGGCAGGGACCGAGGCCTGCCTCTTCCCTGGTGGAAGGAGGGAGAATACCAGGGCAGTCTCCTCTTTTCCTCGTGTTACCTTCACACGTGGATTTTTTTTAAGTCACCAGATACTACATTTGCAGTCTTAAAATTTTTAGAATGATTTTCCTTTTCTATTGTTGTTGAGAAAATACACAACAAATGCACACACTAATTCATATCTGTACATGCATGGGTGTGGGGCATTAATGACGTTCTTCGATTTGTGTCCCCACCCCCACTTCCTTTTCTGAGCTGTCCCCCACCCATGAACACAAACACTGCCTCTAAGTGTCCTGCCGCATCTTTTGAGTTGCTGTGTCTCGTTGGTCCCATAGAGCTAGATCTCAAAGGAGAGTAGCTCCCAGGACAGACTTTTCCACTAGTTGAACAAAAGTCCTTACTTCAGGGCATGGTTTTCATTTACAGTTCTACCTCTTTGTCATTAAATAGTGC